TCACCAGTGAGCTAATGCCACAGCGTCCACACTCCTGCCCTGTCACTCTGGAGATCATGATTGCCGAGCCACTCTTTGACCTGGCAGAGAGGCTTGTTGTCCCGCCTCCTGCCAGGAGTGGCTCGGTGATTGCAATCTCAGGAGTGAGAGAATCTCCAGAGCATGAGCACATCAGTGAGGGGACCGTTCGGCCCCATGGGGCCAGACCCTCATTATCTCCACCTGTGCAGGGGTATTTGCATTTGTATACAAATACCCCCATCTCTACTCTATACCTAGAAAATCCAGGAAGGAGTGAGGATTTGACAGCATGTCATGTTTTAATTTTACTTTTAAAAATAGTTTGACATTGAGGTGCTGCTTCTTCAAAAATCAGAGACAAGGAAGTTTGAATCTCAGGCTCTACGAATCTTTAATATTCTTGTATGGTTCTAGTTGTATAGGTCCATGATCGAGTCTGATCACATAAGTACTATGCGTAGGTAGGTACATTTCATCTTGAGCAGAACAAGTTGTCTGTGTCAAGGTTGTACTACAGCTCATTAAAAGAGCCTATAGACTGTAATGGAAGGGATCTCTGTGGAACCCTGCTGCTGTCCCTCATCTTTGTTGATGATAGACATGTGCCTTACTACACTCTTTTGCAGAATTTGAAGAAAAACCTCCAGTACAGAAGTTCAGCTGGCTGTTGCTGGTATTAGGCACTAGTGCATATGTCAAAAGCTTTTACATAAGAGAATAAGAGGCCAGGGAGTTTTTGTTCTTCTACTGTGCTTCACTGGCAGCTTTCCCCATGTCCTTGGTTCTGGAGTTCTGAACAGCATGTTGCATAAGTATACCACGAAGGAGCATGTGTTTCATCTTGCTAAGAGAGAACACATCATTTTCCTTCCAGACTAGAAGGTACAGGGCCCACAATAACAAAGAACAAAAGTAGACTATGCAGACAATTCCCCTGCATTTGTGACCATAGCTAAATGGAGAATAGCACATGATTAACTCCCTGTACCTTTTGTTTAGGAGCTATTCTCCTTCTCCCTGGATTTAAAGAACTTCTTATCTGTTTGCACCTGGTAAGAGAAATGCAGCAGCTGTTTACTTATCCACCCTAAAAATATTAGTTCTTCTGTGAATAGTGGGTGGATGCTATTCAAATAGGACTTTTGCTACATCAAAAGGCAAAGACTACTCTTTTTTTTTCTTTAGTATTTTTTTGGTGCAGAGTTACGTTAAGAATTAATCAATTGAAATCCATATGACTCTAGGAGAGTGGTTCCCTAGAGTAAATTATTGGACTGCGATTTCCAGAAGCCTTCACCAACAGCTGTGCTAGCTGGGGTTTCTGGGAATTTGCAGTCCATGAACACTCGGGTTACCCAAGGTTCAGGATCACTGCCCTGAGACAACTCTAGTAATTATTGTTGTTGGTTACCAGCTTGTTTATAGGATTTGGTTCACTGATCTCAACTGAAAATGATGCCAGTCTTTTCTGAAAGAAGGTGCTCTTCTGCATTTTCACGCCAACATCTCTTTGCTGCCTGCTAATCTTAGTCACCAGACTTCCTTCCTCTTCTCACCCATGATAAGAAGAGATCATGAGACTGGGCTTTGAGACATACAGATTTTCAGAGAACTTTTAATTCTTTGCAGCACTTATAGCTGCACCTCTTAAAAATATTCTAACACACAGTTGAAGTGAATGCCAGACAGATAGCTAAAAATTGTATTTATGACTATTTACTCAAATTAGGCAGGGCATTGTATAAATAATATTTCACATCAACTAATTTGCATGCAGTTAAATATTAGCATTGCTTGTCTCGTCATCAGCAAAGCTCATATACTGTAGTGCCATAGCAGAAATGTTAGTGCTTTAGCAAAGCCACTATTTCATTGTCACCCCCTGTTGTAAAATGGGGATTGATTTTGCATGTATTATTTATGTCATTCTTGAGTTTAGGAGGGGAAATACTAATTGTTTTTATATATATAACAATTAGTATTTCCCCTTGTTTCCTGCTACTAGTGTTTAAACTTCTGACACCTTTGTCTGAGCTGATAATTATGTCGTGGAATGTTCACGAATATTTCAGGTGTCAAGGAAGCAAAATTTCAGCATGTTTGCAGTCCAGTTGATTGAGTAGGGGGGAAATGTGTGAGATTGGCTGGAAAATCTTATATAATTTGGACAGAAGTAAGTTTGTAGGAAAGTGAGGACTGAAACTAGATCACTGTAGAAAGGGGCAGATTCATTGTCGTAGGTGGAACAGTAGCAGTGGACCAAGGAACAGAAATCTAATTGGATAGCAGGTGGAGAACAAGAGGAAAAAGGGGACCTGAGACAATTTTTTATTTCTTACATGATGTGCAATCCATAAGAAATCACATCTGCTCACAAGCACATAATGCAGTCCTTTACTAACTTGCTATATAAAAACTGTAGCAGCAGCAGCAGCAGCATTGATGATGGTGGCCCTATACTTCTGTCTCCTACAAATTCTACTAGTGATTGGTCATTTCATTGTCAGTAGACTACTGAAATCTTCCTCTGGCTAGAGACTGTATTTGTTCCCTCATTACTATTGCCCATTTTTTTATAGTGGTGGTAAGTTTAGTTTTCTTTTTCATCCTAATTGAATAATATTGGTAGCAATATTTTATGTAGGTTTAAATCACTAAAGCAGTTTAACTCCTTTAAGGAAATTGATATTTGTATTCTGACAGCCCATTTTGACATGGCTACATAAAACAAATGTTGAGATTTCTCTCCATCCCACCATTTAAGTCCTTTAGTTTGCAGTGAGAAAGTTACTGTAAATACAATAGAGTTCCTAATAAAAGAGATCCTTAGTGGAACTTGAAATTACTTACATTTGACTGGTTTTTGTATTTTTAGAAGAAGGTATAAAATTATTTAGGAAAATATTCTTCATGATGTCTTCAGTTAATGACTGGCATGCAAATACAAATGAGTCAAAGGTATAATGTTTATTATGTCAATCTCTTATCTTGAGCTTGACATGAACCTGATGTTAAAATCATGTGTAAAATACATGCATTGTCACTTGACACTTTCCATGATGGATGCCTTATCCCTTCTGTAGACTTAACTCTGTTTAACATGCACCAAAATTGTAGGAACGTAAACAAGTTGAAGGAACATAGACAGAGTTTTCCCAGTAGGTTGTTTTAATTGATCATTATATTTGTGTAGTATCGTAAAGATGGCCATTTTTTAAAGGAAGTAAAAACACTTTATAATTTGAGAGTCACAAACAGGCAAAAAGCTAAAAATTGGACTTTTAAAAAAAGAGTTACTTTATATTTCAATCCAACATGGAATGGCTTCTCCCTGCTTATTGGGCGACATCTGACCTAGTGGATGTAGAAAAGTGCAAAGGCACTCACTGGCAGAAGCATTGACTCTTGTCCTAGTTTGAATTCTACCACTGTTCTACACCTGCAGAAGGAGCTGCTCTTTGTTCATTGCTGATTACACAGCAAACGCTCTTAAGTACCAGTCGATGAATATTTTTAACATCAGGAAGCATGAGACCTCTCATAAACATGTACGTTAATTTTAATTTGTCTCTAAAAGTACCACATTCTGTCTGAAACTGCTGTCCCAATAGCTGTTCATGCTTCTGAGCTTCGTAGCTGGAAGATTAATGCCTTACATAACACAAGTGCTATCCCATCCCATAGTGATTCTCATTTTTATGGATATGACTTAAATAATGGGCATCTCTTTGTATTTATTTTTTTTAATTGTATTTTTTCAAAAATATCTGGTTTGGGCTATATGTTCATTCCCCAACCTGTTGCTTAGTAAAAGATGTAACCTTCCCCTTTCATGTTTGTTAATTTCTGCATCTTGTAGAATAGCGGTCCCCAACCTTTTTGGGGCCGTGGACCAGCTGGGGGAGCAAGCTTCATGAGTGGGGAGCGTGTTGCGCTTGCGGGGGGGGGTGTTGCGCTCATGCGCATGCGCACACGTGCAATGCCCCCGCAGGTGCAACACACACCTGCATGAGCATGACACGCCCACTGTGAGCGTGGCATGCCCCCACGCAAGCATGACACGCCCACTGCACGTGTGTGCTGGGGGAGGTGGAGATCCATATCCGCAGCCCAGTTCTGGCAAGCCCAGGGACCAGCACTGGGCTGTGGACCGGGGATTGACGACCCCTGTTGTTGAAGATTGAGAGTTTTATCCCAGCCAGTCATTTTGGTTTGGTTGCGATTAAAAGAACATAAACTTATCCTGTTGCAAGAATAGTATTAATAATTATCATGTGCTGTCAAGTCAGTTCTGACTTATGGTGGCCCCTTCCAGGGTTTTCTAGATATAGAATACTCAGAAGTGATTTGCCATTCCCTTCTTCTGGGGAATTCCTGGGACTGTGCAGTTTGCCCAAATGGGCTCTTTTACCAGGAGACACAGTGGAAAATTGAATTCCCAGCCTCTGTCTCCTCAGCCTAATTCACTGAACTACCTGGTCAGCTGTAACAGTCTCCTAATTCTGAGAGAGGAAAGCATGTAGTTTCAACAATCATACAACAGGATAAGGATGCAAACAAACAATCCAATAGAAAACAAAACAGTAGGTGAAATAAAATTGTAACAAAGATCTAGGTACAGATACCGCTGAATATGAATAACATGCCCTACTTTCCACTTTTGTGTATCATCTTTGTTTTGTTTGAAAGCTTACAAAAGAGGTGGCCTTTTACTTAGATCACACATTATCTTTCTACTTAATAGAAAATGTCCCCTTCTCCTCCATACCCTGGCTTTTGATTTCCTTTGCTTTTCGTTTGTCACCATCTGTTTGTTTGTTGCAGTCTGGTAGATTTATATTCTTAGATATTAATAAATCATATTGTTATGATCATCACATGATTGTTAGGAGGTCAAATGGATATGGGAGTGGCTTCCCTTGTCTCACAGTGGACATATTTATGGGACACTTTTGGCTGACTAGACATCAGAACGGCAGTTATATTTTATAGCATTTGTTCTTGTTGAGCCCAGCAACAGTCATTCTTGCACTGATCGGCCCAAGATCTATCAGTGATGGTGACAAGCATTTACAGTCCTAAGATGACTATGGAATAGACAACAAGACCAGTTTGGAATGAATGGTTCATTGTTTTAAGTCACCTTCAACACATTGTTTTAAGTCACCTTCAACAACGTGAATACTTCCTGTTGAAAATAAAACTTTTTCTAATTCAGTCTTTTTATACCATTGGTTATCTATGAAAAAGCAGAACACATCAATTATTTCTTTCTATGTACCCGTGTATATCTTTGTATCTTATCACTTGCTTTCATACCAGTCAGCTCATTTAAAGACATTTAATTTTAGCTTGTTTCTTTGTCAGATAACTGGTTTGTGAAGTGATTTTTTTATACAGATTACTGAGATTCACAAGTAGAAGCAGACAGAACATAATGCTCACCAAAATTAAATATTTGTGGGAAACATATGACATAGAATGAGAGTTTAGAAAGCAAAGACATGGCTAGTTCATTTTGTTGTTATGACTGTTGTAGTCACATGACTTGCCCACCTCCCCTCATTCCTGGAAGATGTGGGGTTCTTTATTATCAGAGAAGTTGTAGCTTTTGCTATTATCAATATGTTCTGAAATTGAGATTCTGGAAGTATGTTTCCAATGTTAAGTTGCATTCAGTGCCTTTCCGTTGAAAGATGTTGAAAGGGGAGAAAGCTGTGTGTCTCTAATATCACGGGAACTTTCATCAGGAGCTGTTCTGACAGCACTTGATAAGGAAATGCTTCCTTGTCGTCTCAGTATTTTCATTATTGTACTTTTATATCCTCTGCATGCGAAGAAATAAATGAAAGGATCAAAACAACAGTTTAAATTCATCAGAAACACAGTGTAGTGGAGAGTCCTCTGGAAGATCTGTTGATCGGTGCATGAAATATCATCAGGAAGCACAAGTTTCTTAATCATTTGTACAATAATGGCAAGATGGTATGGGGTGAGACAGATGACGAAGACAACTATGATAAAAATAATTGTATTAATTGCCTTCTTGTTTGTTCCTGATTTTTCAGCCAGCGGATTTTCTTTTGCAGCTTGACAGAGTTTGCAGCTAATTTTAATATAACAGAATAGTATGATATCAAGGGGAATTACATATCCAAGTAAGCAGGCACCAAGAAGTATCCAAGGGAGATGTTCAATTATTTTTTCGAAGTTTGGATATTCCATGCATGTTGTCATATTTCCCTCATTGTGTGACATTTGATGTGTAAGCAGTGGGAGTGTTTGCCCAAGTACAAGGAACCATACAAAGCAACAAATGTATGTGGCGCATCTCACTCTTCTGATCTTGGTACATAAAGGGTGGACCACAGCTATGAACCGGTCAATGCTCAAACAGGTCATAAAGTTCACAGCTGCATAAATGTTTATGTAAAAAACAAGAGCTGTGATCTTGCAGAATACTTCTCCAAATGGCCAGTTAAAACCCAGTGCATAGTACGCTATTCTTGTAGGTAAAGCTGTAGTAAAAAGTATATCCGAGACAACAAGATTTGTTGAGTAAATAGTAGTAGAATTCATCTTTTTTCTGTTTTTAATGATCACAGTAAGAGCAAGTCCATTTCCAAGTACTCCAATGACAAAAATGATGCTGTAGAATAAAGGTAACAAGATACGTGCTGCATCTTTGTGTTCATATAGATCACAAGTTCCGTTATTAGCCAAATCTGTTGCAAAAGGCAGTGTGGCCGAAGCTGTTGCCATAGCTGGTGTATCTCCAGGAAATTCAAGAGACCTTTAAAAAAGAGCAAAAGAAATGGAAACAAATATTCATGAACATAGACAGTCTTGTTTTTTTCTTTTTTGAAACAAAAATATGAAGTTGAACCAAGAAAAGAGGAAGGAATATTTAATTTGTGCAATAGTCAGAAAATCTGGAAAGCTGCAAAAAGCAATGTGTAATGTTGAGGTTTGTTTAGAGTTTCTACGTTAGCTTTGGAATTTTCTTACCCAAGAAAATGTTGACAGTATTTAGAATACTAGATAATAATTTTAGAAGTAATTTTACACACTTTAAGGTTTTGTAACTTGCAAATTAAGGGCTGCTTGTTGCTATTTTATTTATGTATTAAAACTCATGTCTGATTTTTTTCTTCAAAAAGTCATCACGGCTATATAGAAGATACAGTGAGAGCACAATAATAAATAACATTTAAGAGAATAACAGTAACAACCCTAAAACTATTATCCTTAACAGACTAACAGAGCAGTGAGTTAAGTGACCGTATTGATGCAGTGTTGAAAGCTGAATGAACAATACGGATTTTCTATAAGGGTTACTAATGATGTTTCCTGGAGGAGGAAATTCCAATGCTACCAGAGAAATAGCCTTTCTTCTACTAAGCTACACTGCTCTTTGAAATGGAATCAATTCTGTGCTATTAAAAGCATGGGCAGTTGAGAAAAGCAAGCAAGAGGATATGGCAATCCAAGGAACATGATGATCCAAGGAACATCTTCTGTGTTCATTAATTTATTTCAATAAACCAGCCAGATCTTTGTGTGCAAGTCTTCAGTGTTCTAAACATGTTATTTGACACTAAGGACTGTTGTATTTTGTGTGCAGTTGTAGAATTTTTCCTGTGCCTATATACCTAAACAGGATATTTTTCCTTATTTCAAAGTTGTTTCTTGAAACATTGAGATATATATGTTCACTGCTTTTAATACATGATGTAACGGTAGTTGGGGTTATATAAGCCTTATGGTTTATATATACTGTGGCTTGAAAGTGAATATGTGTTGAGTACTGACACTTTCTTTTTGCTTCTACACACACATACTGTGGTTTGCAGTTGAATATATCTGTCATTCTGTTATCTGTAGATAGGTGTTCATGGTTATGTCTATTTAAAATACTTTTCCCTGGGCCGAAACACATCTCCAGCTTTCAACATAGTGCCACTTCATTTCATAAATGGTTCTAAAACTTTGACTCCTAAACCACAACATTACATTCCTCCTGGCTAAAATTAGTTACGTTGGATGTGGGAATTCTATTGTGTACAGTGTGGAACAGAAGTGACAGAGGAGGAAACTGTAATGGTCATTTCCCTTTGACTACAGTGGTTAATGGTTAAAATATTTAAACTTTGTTGTGTTATCGTGGCAGAAGAAGTGGTGTTGTGGCTTCCCGCATCCAGACTTATGTGAAGTTTTTATATTTTGCTAGGTCTAATGTGTTGTGTAGTTAGTGACTGAAATTGCTTAACAACTGCATTACATGACTTGTCTTGTGGCATACATACTATAAACAGGATGTTGCCCCAGTTAAGTATTAGATTATTTCTGCATTATTTTAGCTGTCTTGGATGGCAAGCATGCTTCTTCTTCTTCTTGTAAATATATGTTGTGAATTGAGATAGAATTGATGGCATACCCTTTAGCAGCAGCGATGACTTGCTGCTCAATCCTGTGCTTGTTTTCTAAGCAGCAACCTTTGCTTCATTGAATCGGATTTATTCCTGTAATATTCTGGATAGATCATACTATTAGGCATATTCTCTTTTCAGAGTCGGCCTCATTGGACATTGTGGAGCTTACTTCTCAATAAACATGCACTGAATTAAGCTATTTGTTTTCCATATTATTAAAGGTTTTTATCTAAAAAACAAAACAAAACCAGAAGGGAACATAGCTTAGTAGGAAAAAAAGACTAGAGAACCGGACAACAGATGCAGAAAAGAGGAAGGAAAACACTGTACTGGGACAACTCCTAATGACCACCAGTTTCATGTACCAGTGAGCTTTTAATAGAAATTATGATTCAGTGGGACTGCTCCTCCCAGTCTTTGTGTATTTTACTATATTTCTGGCACATGAGAGTAAAATTCTAGGCTTGTTTGTTGTGACATGAGTACCTGGGAACATGAGACCCCAAAAATTGAATTCTCAGATTTGTTGCACTTTTAGAGGCAACACTGTCTTGATCTGGTTAAGGACTTTGTTTGCTCAGAAGCTGGCACCAATATGTGTATCTCTAGATGAAGAGAAGATCAATGTATGGACTAACACTCTTCCCTGCGACTCTAGAAACATATTCATGCTTCAGGACTATAGTGAGTTATGTTCAACAGCATTGGAAAGGGCTACTGGGTAGGAGCACAGCTTGGAATACAGTAATTAGATTTTTGGACAACAACTTCCAGAATCCTCCCGCTGGCATGACTGGGTCATTCTGGCTAACTGAGAAGCACGGGTTATCATTGCAGAAATTCCCCTCTGCATGTGACTGGTACAGTTCTGTCTTTCTTCAAAAGACCATACACACAGCATGGATGTGGGGTCCTGTTAGAACCTATGGCCACAGAGTTCTATTCTGCCTAGCTGAAATTATTAGTTTAATTTTTTTTCCTTTATTTTATAGCCATTATAAAATTGTGACAAGTAAAAAGCAGACTGATGAGAAGATGCATTAAAATAACTAGTCTTTCAGAAGAAATGTGTTAACAGCTCTGGTTAAAACAGAGTGGTACCGTGGTACTTTCGCATTGTCAGGAGAGTGATTGAAATAAAAGACTTACAAGTGGAAGTCCAGCATGAGTATTGTGAATGTGAAGATAGGATGACCTGCATGTAGCATAGGGATAGGGATAACGTTGGTTCTCTACGTGTTTCAGACTTCAGCTCCTATCAATCCCACTCAGCTGAGCAATAGTAAAGGACTATGGAGGTGTAAATTCAAAATATATAGAAGGCCAAGGTCTCCCCAACCCTGATGGGGAAGAACACAATACTTATTTGAAATAGAAACAATGAATGTATGGAGTCATTTCCTATTAAAGAGTATGGTCTGGGAATAGTTTAAAATTTTTGTGATTACTTCTTATCACCTCCTCAGATAAACTGGTATAGACTGTTACCTATTTAAGTTATTAAATTCATTAAATGTGTATATTGCAGTGAAACTGCAAAAACTGTGGTGAGTTTTATGAAAAACTGAGTTACTTATTTTTTTCCACTAATTTAGTTTTATAACTTATCTTCATGGTGCTACTCCTTAATGTTAATTGTTAAATCACAATGTGCAATATGTCTATTATTCCAGCAAAGTGAGTTTGGGGATAAAGATATGTGATAAAATGTGCTATTCTAGTCTTTCAAAACATTTCTCCTTACTTGATGGAAGATTTCATAGCATCACTTTTAGTTTAACATAAAGGCTAGCATATTTCCAAAAGTCTATTCAATAAGCCATCTGTTTGAGTGTAAAATCGAATGAGCTCAGTGGCATTTATTTCTGTGTGAACATGTATAATTTTTTAAAGACATCTGAAACTATCTTGTGTTGCAGTACAGTATAACAAGGAAAGCTAATTTACTGAGGGAAAATAAAAGTTAGTGAAATAAACAGTTTTAAGAGAAAATGCTTGTCAAAGGAGTGGCTTGAAGCTTACATCTTTTAAATATTGACAGTGATTACACTATAACAATTTTTAAACGACCGACAAAATAGTTGATATTCTATAACATTTATCTTTTGCCCTGTAAATACCTTTCTTGAACCAAAATGTAATTTTTTATCAAATATTTTCTCTAAGTATACTTTCCCCACTTTTCATGGCATTAGTACAAATTATGGTGAGAGAATAAAACTTCACTGCAATCCTAATGTTTGCATCTATGAGTTATTGCTGCTTGAGAAATATTCTTAGGTTATTTGCTGTCTGTCTGTAATAATTAACTGCTTTTTGGGGAAGGGGAAGCAGAATGTAATATTCTTGGTACTCACGTAACGGCAGTCTGGCAGATCGTCTGTGTTGTGCTCATGTTTGCCACACATCCCATATGCAACTGTTTCCCCTCAGTATGTTGTTCTTAAAGAGTGATTAAGGTCAGACCGCCCTTTTATGGAGTGGATGGTTTTTCCCCTCCCTAAAGCTGAAGTATATGCTTCTAAAAAATATAGGAAGTGAGCATACCTATTCAGTTCACATGATTCTTTCTTTCAGAGGTCCTGTAGCATGTTAAAGAATTTACCCCCAAAATTGTGGCTTTTGGGGCCTTATGTCATCTTACTGCATATGCTGTATTTTAAAAAGTTAGAAGAGCCACATGTGATGTCGCATGAAAGTGAGTTGAAAGTGGTAACATTTTACCTAAGCTTCTGTGTTGGCCAGATTCTGTATGGGCTCTGGTTGTGACACTTGGTGCTACTGCATGTATCATAAACTCTTTTTGTTCAGAAAAAAATTAGGAAAAACCTGTGTGGTCCTTAAAATTACACAAATGCAAGAGTAGGTGATACCTTTATTAGACCACTAAAAACTAAACAAACTGCTAGGTTTCGTGGGTCTAGTCCATTTCTTCAGGACAGAATGCAAAAAATTACAAATGAGAATCTCAAAAACTCATAGAAGGTGGCTGTGTGAGATCTGCTTCTCAGAGGTGAGTTCAAATGCTTGTTGCTAATATCCTTCGGAAGTGTGTGGTCTCAAGCTTCACCCTTGTAAAGCATTTGGCTGGAATTTTTCACCCAGCTCTCCAAACAAAGAGCTGCCAAACAAGTTGTGAAATATATTCCCGAAGGCTTTCACGGTTGGGATCTGATGGTTGTTGTAGGTTTTTTGGGGTGTTTGGCCATGTTCTGGAGGTTTTTCTTCCTAACATTTCGCCAGTCTCTGTGGCCAGCATCTTCAGAGGACAGGAGTTAGACAGCATTCTAACCATTCAAACAACCCGAAAAACCTGCAACAGCCAAGTTGTGAAATTTTACTACAGCAATGGCTTGTAAAAGCTAAAGACCAACCAGATGTCCTGGTGTCAGCCATATATTTATTTTGTTGTCCTCATTTACAAATAAAATGGGAAAGGGGTTTACCTTTACCAGTGAAAAAGAGAAATAGTACAAAGACTTTAAACCCAAAGTTAGTTCCTTAACTCCTTGTATCAGATGTCTCTCTTCCCAGTTAATGCCTAGTGAGGAGAGGGATCCTTCTCTTTTACCCGACTTTTTTTTTTGTTAAAGTAAGATATATATTACTTTGTGGGTGGATGCATTAATCACTGGCTTTTTTGGTCTAGCTATTCCATGGTAACACCAAGAAGAACTCACAGGAAACTCATAGAGACTAGTGGTGGAACACTAATTCTAGTAAAAGAGACAAGACATTTATAAAAAACACACAGCAAACCACATGACGTTAGAAAAGAACGTCAGTGAAAACATAACTTGTTATACACAAAGGGGAAGAATTGTAAGTATCCTTAGAACCATAAGCATTTATTTAATACTAGAATCTAGTTAATACTAGAAACCAGGCTTTTGTTATATTGAAATTAGAGGTTAAGATTTCTTTTTAAAAAATCTTATTCTGACAATGAGAGGTAAAACTTACGATGCTCCATATTGTCTGAATAAAGTTGTGGGATTTAACAGCATTACTTTAGGTATACAGGAAGTATGACAATAACTAAAAATGTGGTGTATGCCAGAGGAAACTACCTGGGGTATCAATGAACATAATTTCCCTGAAACATCTCTGGAGTTTAGTCTGGGGAATTTTACATGAGTAAGTTCCACGGAGTTGATGTAGGTTTTAATCCACGGGAGTTCAAATTTTTATTCAAAATTAATCAGGAAAGCTATTAATATGCATATAAAACTTGAATCTTTTTAAAAGGACAATCAATAAAACAATTTAATTTTTAAAAAATCCCTATTAATTTTATATGTGATCCAAAATATATGTCTGTGTGGTTTTGGTCATGTGTTTAGATGCAAGTTACACAGTTTTCAGTTCCACTAATTCTCCATATCTTAACTCTGATGCTTAATAAGCTAGTTCTGCTATATAGCAAGAAACACTCAACATTTGATCTCATATGTTGAAGCTAAGGTCGATAAATGGTATTTGGAAACGACCCAGGCAGCTGACATGATCACCCCCAAACACTCTCTCCGCTCCAGAGCTCGCACTGTCCCTTGGTATATTGAGGGGCTGCGAGCTATGACTTTATCAAGGAGATGGCTAGAGAGCAGGTGGAGAAGAGATCAGGCACAAAATAGGGCTGCAGTTAAGATTATGTCCAATAAATATGCTTATGCCCTTAAAATAGTCAAGAAAGACCTTTAACATCCGGAGGATTGGTGAAGCTGTGGACCAACAAGTGGAATTGTTCTGGGCGGTCCATGACCTTACCAGTTCTGGCCATTCAAGATCTCATTTTGAGTTCACTAATGATCAGTTTGCAGCCTTCTTTAGAGCAAAAAATCAAGGCCATTTGTGGTGACCTTGACTCCACCAGCAGCCTACCTGATCCTGGGGTGAACATCGCTGCCACATCTCCCATTGCCCAGTTGGTTCAGTTTGACCCTGTATTAAAGGAGGAAGCCTCCAGGGTGATAGCAAGCTGTAGGACCACTGCCTTCTCGCTTGATCCTTGCCCAGCATGGCTGATCAGAGCCACGAAGGGGGCTATGATTGATTGGGTCGTGAACATTATTAATTTGTTTAAAAGAAACCATTGTCCGACCCATCATCAAGCACCCCTAGTTAGAACTGGACAACCATAGCAATTTCTGCCCGATTGCTAACATACCATTCTTGGGCAAGGTAGTTGAGAGGGTGGTGGCAAGTTAGCTACAGTCAGACCTGGAGGAGCAGGATTGCCTTCATACATTCCAGTCTGGATTCAGGCTGTGTTGGGGTACTGAGACAACACTGGTCATGCTGCAGGATGGCCTTTTAAGGGAGGCTGACTGGCAGATGCTCCCTCTTGGTACTTCTAGATCTCTCAGCAGCTTTTGATACCGTCAACCACAGTATCCTCCTGGACAGACTCTGTGAGGTTGGGATTGGTGGCTTAGCATTGAGCTGGCTCTGATCCTTCTTTGAGGACCATATCCAGAGAATTCAGCTAGGGGAGGAGATGTTGTCACCTTGGACCTTATGGTATGTGGTTCCTCAGGGATTGGCACTATCTCCAATGCTGTTTAACATCTATGTTAAGCCATTGGGGGAGGTAATCAGGAAATTTGAAGTAAAGGTTTATCCGTATGCTGATGACACACAACTCTGTCTCTCCATTCCCACCTCTGCAATGGGTGCCGTCCAGATGCTTGAGCGTTGCCTGGTTGCAGTACTTGAATGTACCAAGGCTAATAGGCTCAAATTTTGCTCCTGTGCAAAGGGGCTCTAATAGGTTAAGAGGGATGGTCCCTAGGCTGGATGGTACTTCCCTCCATTTTAGGGACCAAGTGCATAACTGGGGCATTCTTCTGGACCCAGATCTTTCTTGGGAGTCCCAGATTGCAGTCATGTCCAGATCAGCCTTCAAGCAGCTTTGGCTAATCACCCATCTTTGTCCCTACCTAGACAAGGACTCCCTCAGGACTTTGGTGCAGGCCCTGGTCATCTCCCTGATTGACTACTGCAATGCCCTCTATGTGGGGCTCCCCTTGAACCTGATCCGGAGACTTCAGCAGGTCCAGGATGCACCAGCCAGACTGGTGGTGGGTGCCACCTCATTTGACCACATCATTCCAATTCTGGCCCAACTCCACTGATTGCCCATGGCGTCCCGATCAGGTTCAAGGTTCTGACATCTAAATGCAAAGCCCTTCATGGTTTAGGCCCTTGTTACTTTTTGGAGTGCCTTTCCTTAATGTCTTCTGCCTGACCCATTGCCAGAACAAGAAGAGTCGATGGGGACAGAAGAGAGAGGGCTTTCTCTGTGGCAGCTCCCAGGTTATGGAATGTTCTCCCTCGGGAGATCAGGCTGCCCCCCCCTTCTGTCTTTCCACCGACAGCTGACCCACTGTGGCTGGCACTATGTACTGGTACATTTGCACCACCAAGATGATAGCAAGACTGCTGAGTCATCTTTAACTCCCACATTTCTTGGTCCCATTGTCTCATTATATTTATTGATGTTGTCCATGTTTGGGTAAGGATGTCATGAACTCACAAAATAATGGCATTTGGAAGCATCTCTAATACCATCTAGTCTATCCTGTTGTTCAATGCAGGAATCCAAGTCAAATCATATCTAACAGACAGCTTTTTAATATTCTCTTGAATGCCTCCAGTTTAGGAGCACTTGCCATCTTCCAAGGTAATTGGTTCTATTGTCTAATACTGTAGTTATGAAGCTTTTCCTGATATTCAGCTGAAATCCTGCAATTTGAGCCCATTATTACGTGTCCTGAACTCTGAGATGACTGAGAACATATCCAACACCTCCTTTTATGACAACTTTTTAAGTATGTAAAGAGTGCTATCATATCTCATCTAAATCTTCTTTTCTCAAGGCTAAACATGCCCGGTTCTTTCACTCTCATAGGGCTTGGTTTCCAGTCCCCTGATCATCTTTGTTCCTATCCTTTGAACTTGTTCCAGTTTATCGGCATCCTTCTTAAAGTGCAGTGTCCAGAACTAGACATAATACATGAGGCCTAACCAGTGACAAATAGAGGGGAACTAGTACTTCATGTGATTTGAAGACTATCCTTTTGTTAATGCAGCTTAAAATAGCATTTGTCATTTTTGCAGCTGCATTGCACTGTTGGCTCATATTCAGCTCATGATCTGCAGCAATTCCAAGATCCTTCTTATGTGTAGTATTACTGAGCCAAATATCCCCCATCTTGTAACTGTGCATGTGGTTTCTTTGTCCTAAATTGAGAACTTTGAATTTACCCTGTTAAACCTCATTCTGTGATTTTCTTCTCCATGCTTCAGCCTAAAGATAATTTTGTTATTTTTGTTTCTGTATTCCATAGTATTAGCTATTCTACCCACTTTTGTGTCATCTCCAAGTCATTACTGTAACAAAAACGTTGACTAGAACTGGACTCAGGACTGAGCCTTGTGGTTCCCCACTTGTTACCTCCTCCCATCTCTAATAATCACTCTCTGAGTGCAATTCTGTAACCTATTGTGTATCCACCTCAGAGCTGTTCTTTGCAGACCACACCTGGTTACTTTGCTAGTCAGAATGTCATGGAGCACTTTGTCAAAAGCTTTGTCGAAGTCAAGCTACAGTGGTACCTCGACTTACGAACTTAATCCATATTGGAACAGTGTTTGCAAGTCAAAAAGTTTGTAGGTCGAGGCACCATTTCCCAACGGAATGCATTGAAAACCGATTGATGCGTTCCGAGGGAAGAAAAAAATACCAAAAAATATTTAAAAATAAAAATAAAACACTGCAAGTCCCACACTGGGACTGAAAAAAAAGAAAAAAAAGAAAAGAAAACCCACCAAAACCACACAAATCCAAAAATAAACATTGGAGCAAGTCCAACGCTGGGACTGCAAAACAAAACAAAACAAAAACAAAACAAAAAACAAAAACCCCCCAAAACAAAGCAACACAGCACAAAAACATAGCCACGCCCAGCCCAAACCCACCCTGCAAAAGCCACCCAGAACAGTTTTTAAAAAGAAAAAAGCCTCCTGGGGGTCCCCTGCCGCTGCGATCGCCACTGCCATGATGGCTGCCGCCATGAGGCTTGAGCCTGGCCGGGTTGCTCTGGCCGCTCGCCCCCGGCCGCGGCGGAGGCAATGGTCACCCAGCGCCAGGAGCCTTGAGCTAGCCTGGTTTCGGCTCAAGCCTCCCCGCGCTGGGTGACAGATGCCTCCTATCGCAGTGGC